TTTTTTTTTTTTTTTTTTTTTTTTTTTTTTTTTTTTTTTTCCTTTAAATTTCTTCCGAACTTTCTTTTTATCCTCTAACTCTAAGTTTTATTTCTTCATTTTCTCCCATCTGCCTTTCATAATATGAAACTTCCAAAATTTCCTAAGAACCACATGCCTATCAATGGTTATTACGGTCGATGGTCGGTCGCATCAGGTGGTCGAAAGATTGGAATTAGTCCTCTAGTAAATTAGTTAAGTAGGTGAACACATATCACTTTTATAAATCAATCAATATTCATACATCATTTCCCATCCTCCATCGTCCAATATTAGTTCCAATATACCCACCCACCACGAAGCAGACCCAACACTGTTGCCTAGTAACGAAAATAATCAATTTTCCTTGTGCAATATTAAGCCGGCAAAATAGTAAAAAAGGGTCAACTAATTAGTGTTATGAATTCTTATTCAATTCATTCGATTACTAAATTTTGAAAACTTTGGCACATTATGAGAATGGCTCACATAATTAAAGAAGTAACTTAGCATGATTTTGATGTCTTAGCATGATTACAGCTGTTGTGCACTGTGTTAACTGTTTATATTTATATGTGATATATATATWTTTTTTATTTTTTTTTACATACATATATGCATATACACATACATATACATATATAACTAAAACTATAGAATTTGAAACTAATCTTGCCAGAGGATCTAACTCCACTAATCTAAATTGGTTCTACGCCCCTTGAATGGATTGCGTAAAAGCCACACCTACATCGCGTGCTACGAATCTTTTTTTTTTTTTTCCCCATGAAGCGAGAAGACATGTGTTGTCTCTTTCACATCCTAGATCTTGAGATTGCTTTATAAGAAGGTGTTCAAGATGATGCCGGCCTCCGATAAGTAAACCAAAGCAAGATGACACCTAAATCAGTTTTTTTGTGATAAACCACTAGTTATTTTCCGGGCAGTTGAGCTTGATGTATTTAGAATAACACTTGATGAACAACATATGCATAACTATGGTCAGGAGTATCTAAGCGTTTCAGTTGTAAACACTTGAAATCAAGTTTTAGGGCGCCTCTCTCTCTCTCTCTCT